ATGATGATGATGATGATGATGATGATGATGATGATGAGGATGATGATGATGATGATGATGATGATGATGATGATGATCCATTTTGTATTTTCAACCAACAGGTGGGAGGAGACCACACAGAAGCTGTACTCAACAACCTCCGAGTCAAGGCCCGAGTGCTCATCTGTGGCCAGATCTCTGCTTACAACCAGGCGAGAGACATGGGTAAGATCAAGTTGTGGTTTCTAGATGTTGTCGTTGATGGTGTTGTTGCTGTTGTAGGTATTTACGTTGTGGTAGTATAGTAGTAGTAGTAGTAGTAGTAGTAGTAGTAGTAGTAGTAGTAGTAGTAGTAGTAGTAGTAGTAGTAGTAGTAGTAGTTGCTGTTTTGTTGTTGTTATTATTGTTGTTGTTACTGCTGTTGTTATTGTTGTTGCTGTTGTTGTTGTCTGCTGACAAGAGGTAGTTGTTGGCTTTTTATGCTGTTGTTCTTAGTGTTGGTGTTGCTGCTGTTGTTGTAAGTGCAACTGTTGGTGTTGGTGTTGGTGTTGCTGCTGACGCTGTTCGAAATAAATCATCTCCTCTATTAACACCTCCCTCCCGCCCTCTTTTCTATCGACAGTACCAAACCCGTACAGGAAAATCCTTAGGGCAGAGGCCAAAGTGCAAGGTTTCCTCATCTTTAAGCATCTGGCCGACTTCCCCAGAGTGAGGAAAGAAATCATCTCCCTTGTTCAGCAGGTGAGTTACAGTTAGTAAAACAGTGGTATATTGATGAAAGATGTTGGTGAGGTTTTCTTTTTGGGGGGGGGGCAATATGGAGTTTTTATTTTTATTTTTTCATATGGAGTTATTGGTATCATCGTAAAGCTTGTTCATTTGCCTTTCTTTTGATGAGAAAGGATACCCATCTGTCTTGAATAGAAGTCGCGATGTTTCAGATTTAAAGGAGATAGGGGCTGTAGTGGTGCCAGAGGTAAAAATTCGCGAGAAAATAACCCCAAACATTTGGTAACTTCCCAAGCTTAATTAAGTGCTCCTGGATACTACAAATCTACATTTCCGGTGTCAATGCTCAATGTTTTTCCAGTAAAACACTTACAGAAATATAATTTCAAATGGGCATAAAAGGTGTTGAGTAAAAACTAAAACAAAGGAAGAAAATTGACCAAAAGGCAGAGAACTATTGGTTGCTTTCGATTTCACTATTTTCCACGAGAGCCAAATTTCATTGTCATGTCGCACATTATTCACTTTTGAATGTTAAACATGAAATATATCCAATAAACATCATTATGAAAGAGCTATGCCAGTACACAATGCAATATTATACCCAATATGATCCGTAGATTAACAATCCCTCTCTCTCCCTCTCTCGTGTTCTCAGAAAAAACTGCAGCCCAGAGAAACGATCACACAAGGATTCAAGAACATGCCACAAGCCTTCATGGATCTGTTCACGGGAGCTAACTTCGGAAAAGCAATCATCAAAGTATGAGCAAAATGAAGGGTTCCTAGCTAAACAAAATATTCTAATATTTTAGCCACGAGCTCAAAGCCATTTCTGACTGACTGTTAAAGTACATTTAATGCCAATGGAACAACAAAAGCAATGTTTAAAAAAAATCTCACGTTGTTCTTAACAGTTGTACACACGCACATAATATTATACATATGTTTGGTATTTTGTACATATCATGTATCATGTCCTTCTGTGAAATAAATCATGGATGTTTATATAAAATTCACTTCTTTGTGTGTGTATGTGAGTGTGTGTGTGTGCGTGTGTGTGTGTGTGTGTGTGTGTGTGTGTGTATGTATGCATGCATGTATGTATTATTATGTAAGTTTGTATATGTTGCGCGCGCATGTGAGTGCGTATGTGTGCGAGTGTGTGCGTGTGTATGTGTATGTTTGTATGTGCACATGTGTGTATAACAATAATGCCCTGAACACACAAACAAACACAATAATATACACACTTTTCAACACTCATTTGTATGAATCAAGGAAGGGGGCTCTCATGGTCTAGAGGTTAAGGTATTCGCCTTTCATTAAATAGTTCCAGCCGGAGTTCGAATCCGGATAGCGACGAACATTCTTTTTCTCTAATATCTTCTCCTTTCACATCCTTTCCTGCTCTCTAACAATATTCTATCGTCTGCTTTCGTCTCCACTATCTTCCCCCACCACCTCACCTCCTTTGTTCCCTCCTCTGGGCTCCTGACTCTTTCCGCAGTCTTTGTACTGCTACTCCTTGGCTCCTTCTTACTGCTGTCTTTCAGCCACACGCCCTGATCTTATGGTAGGTAAGATCTACATCTAGCCTTCTCGGACAAAGGTGAAAAAACTCGGAGGTCACGTGTGCAAATTGCGCAGTCCAAAATCGATAAGAATAGACTTCGGCCGCCACCCGGGCAAAATTCAAAATATCCTACCAGCTGAAAACGTTTAATGTGTCAAAAAATCAACAAAACAACAACAACAACTACAACAAAAACCCACAACAACTCCGCCCCCCTCCCCCCAAAATAAAGAAGAAAACAGCACTGCCCAGAACAGACGCCATGAATACCGAGACAGTGCATCAATCCTCCTTCTTCGGCCTTTGTGGTGAGCTGTCGGAGAATCGAGGTCAGCGATGGTTGCGAGTAGTGCTGGGCTGTTAGGTTCCCGATTATTGAAAGCTAGGAATCGTAGGAAGCGACTCCGAACCCAATTATAAATTGTACTTACATTCTTTAGGTTTTAGTACAGGTTTTACGGCGCTCGCAACTGCATAAGGTCATATGAGCGCCAACTTACTTTCTAAAGGTCTGATTTCTCTCAGTGGTTATCAGGTAAGCTCCGAGAATCTTCAGGAGTTAGGATAAACTAGATTTTGGAAAACTACGAAGCATCAACTTTTTTCCCAAAATAAATTCAACAAAAAACTCAAAACAAAACCGAAAGAAAATGTTAATAATTAAAGTAACTGGTAACCGTTGGTTTACATAAAATGGAGTCGAAACTTTTCTCGAGTTGTTTCTGAGCAGCAATGACCCCCACAACACTCATAGTATCATTATATATAATATAATATTACCATGAGCTGAGCGGTGATAAGTCAGCCCCATTACTATTACAGGAAACTTGCTGTAGAGGATCAACTCATACATTTATGTATTAGTCAGGCATATGCCACCATCTGTAAGAACTGGATTGAAGAGAATTATTATTAATTCTGAAAGGACGAAGTGGACAAATATTATGTCCTACCATCAGCAGACCAGAGCACCCTCCAACCACCTGTGAGATATTCGAAGGCAAAAAGACGGAGCAAACTCAGAGATTCCCCCCCCCCCCTTGTCCGAGAAGGCTAGGTGTAGACTAGATCTTACCTACCATAAGATTATGTTGTTGCACATTTCGACCATCATAGACAAACCAGAGACAAGAATGCGCATATTTCATAGTATAAGTGTTTTTCCCAGCCTCCTTACAAATTCGGACAAAGAAAACACAGTTAAAAAATGTGCTTGAATAACGTGGCTTTACCTTTTGTTTTGAAAAAGTACTCCTAAACAACACGTCTTCGATGAGTTATGACTGAAGGTAAAGATCATAAACACATTAACATAACATAAAAAACGAAAAGCCCATGCAACGTAATTTGTCAAAACTTAGATTTACAGTGTGTACAGAATGCCATTACTACGGAAGTAATAAAAGAGTAAAAAGAACAAGCAAGCAAGCAACAACAAAAAACCCAACAAAAAAACAACAACTACAACAACTAACAACAAAGAACAAAGAAAAAAGCAAACAAAATAACACAACATCTTTCAAGACAGGCAAATATTATAATGTTTACAACATAGATCTACCTATATCACAATCTGGCACTGCCAAAGATATCATCACTTGTAGCATGAAAAGCTATTGGCGAAAAACTTAATTAAATTATCTGTTCATTTTGGACCTGTCTTGCTGAATGGCTTTATTTCTAGTAACAAAAGATGTCCATCGTGAAGTCTGGCGCTAATCAATACATTGCACATTTACTGCATAGTCCACTGTCTGACATTTGCAGGGATAACCTGTGATTTCAATCACGTTTGGCCCCTGGAGTATATTCAATTTTAGATTCTGTCTAATGTGTGCTCAGTTTATCAAAGGCTTAAAACATGTTTAGAAAGAGGAACAGCCTCAGACTAAACAACAACTTTCACAAGTTTAGAAAAGGGGTCTTTATTCATTATACCACCTTTACAGACGCTATTTTGCACGTTTTTAAAGGGTAAATGGGTTATTTCAGATTTTAAAGGAGGTAACCCATGTTTTTAAATTTCATATCACAACCGTCATAAGCAATTAGGGTTCAAAATTCCGTGTGGCTACCATTTGCAAGAAAACAGATCATTGCATCTTTATTGTCTCATGGACTAAATAAGTTTTCGCAATGCCAGTTGTAGAATGGCTTGCCATTCTTGGTCCAAGAAGTTAAAGAGTTCATCCACATTGTTTGGGGGTGGCTGATGGTCTCTTACTTGGCGCTCAAGAGCATCCCACAAGCGTTCAATGGAACTAAGGTCCGGTGATCGGGCTGGCCAGTCAAGCCTGATCACGTGCTGCTGCTGCAGGAAGTCATCCACCACTCAAGCGCGGTGAGGTCTGGCCGAGGATACCGGAACTAAAGATTTATTTTGGTAGCCTTGGGTCTGGCGTTGTCGTTCTGAAGTATGGCGCCCTGGTCCAATGCCCGAAGAGCTGGAATTGCAATCGGGCGGAGAATCTCGTCCCTCTGCCGGATACCCGTCAGATTGCCTTGAATGCGATGCAGGGGGGTCCGGTGGTTGAGTCCAATCCCACACCACACCACAACGGAGCCTCCTCCATGCCGGTCATGCTCCTGTACTCAGTCGTCGTGGAATTGCTCACCAGGACGCCCCCAAACACGGATCCTGCCATTGTTGAAGGACAATGTGAACCTGGACTCATCCATTAAGAGCACAGTAGACCACTGTGGGCGTGTCCACCTCAGGTGTTGGGCGGACCAGGTTCTGCGGGCAATCCGGTGGGCTTGTGTCAGCAAAACCGGACTGCTGGTCGTCTGGAGCGTAGAACAATCTCACGCGGCCGGTTTCTAATGGTCTGGTCGCTGATTCCAACGTCGCTTGGGGGTACCACCTGCTGTCTGGTGTGACGGGCAGTGCAGGTTTGAGTTGCCAGGGCTGTTATGGCGATTGCACCGGTCCTCTCGTCGTGTGGTGCAACGTGGCCGTCCGGACCGCCTTCGCTCAACAGCAGTTCCAGTTGCAGCATCCCGGTCTCTCAGTCTGATGATCACTGAGTGACTCACGGCGAGCCGTCTTGCCACTTCACCGACAGCAATCCCTTCGTCGTGGAGCCAGGCTATGGCTCGTCCCCTGTCGATGCTGCCCAGACATCTTCTTGGAGGCATTGTTAAAAATCACTTAATAGGCCCGCAATAAATACCCCTAGCACCGTCAAACCCACTCAGGCATTAGTGTATGAAGCGTGAATTCCCCTTAGTTGGTTTTTAATCCATACTACTCACTAAAAATCACATTAGTGATTGTCAAGAACAGGTTCAATTTAACAGAAAAATGGCCCCCTTTCACCCTGTCTAGGCAGCGTAAATTAAACGACATGTCGTGTCAAATCTGTTCATTAATGTAAACAACGATGCCCCTTCCTTACAATGACATCAACCCACTCACCTAACTTCTCAATATGTGTTTGTACCGTCTCAAACATACTATAGTGAAAACTGTAGTGGTCCCTTACTTGTTTTGAGTAGTAGATTTGCATAATGTCTATAATCACATTTTTCTATTACTATAGTTTAACAGTTTAGGGCCCTTTCATTTCTACGGTCAATTGTTAATAGAAGTAGTGGTAAAAAAATGGAACCTGAAATTCGAAAGACAATGCAAAGAAGCTAAACAATATTTTAGAATTATATTATAAAGTGACGAGGAAACTTGAAAGGGGGGTAATCATTTAATAATCATTTATTCAAGCTAATGTAAGTGGTTTCCACTGTTTAATTGTGACATTTTGAGAATCTTTCCCCCCCCCGTGTCCTGATTTTTGGTGCTCGTCTTTGTTGGTTACGTAAAAAGAAAGAAATGATGCAAATTTTTATATGAAAGGGGAATTGTTGCTGTGGCGTCATCACCCATTTATTTTTCTCAAATACTATGTTCCTGATGAAGCCTTATTGGCGAAACGTTGAACTGTGAAATATATATTTTTTGGGGAAATACAACAAGGTCTTAACTGTTTTAATACCTTCTTTATACAATGATGATGATGATGATGATGATGATGATGATGATGATGATGATGATGATGATGATGATGATGATGATGATGATGATGATGATGATGTTGTTGGCGATGGTGACGGTAATGGTAATTGTGATGGTGAGCATGACGATGATTATTTTTGTTGGTGTTGATGATGTTCTGATGTAGGAGATGACGTGTGTATTAGTCTTAGTGTGAAGTTTGTTTGGTGCTTACTCTAGATCCCCGTCAGGCTGTCCTGAGGGGCAGGACACAACTCTCATTCCCAACTCCTCGCATAGAGTGACCAAAAATTTGGAAATAATTCGTCATCTTCATCCCTAGCATTTAATAAAAGTAGGCTGAAAAATCACATGGGGACCCGCTTCTAAGTGATGACATTGTTAGTGTGTTTGTTACCCTACGTCTATGCTATCATATTTTCATAAG